AATAGTTCTGGGCCCCTTATCTGAGGAGAGATATACTGTATTGGTATTGGAGGGAGTCCAGAGAAGGTTCACTACACTATTACTGAGTATGGAAGGACTGTCTAATGAAGAGAGGTTGAGTAGTTGGGTTAAACAAAGAACTGTGAAAGCTGCTGGTCTGAAACAAATAAACACAGAAATTGCTGGAGCAACAGAGCAGGCCTGGCAGCATCTGCAGTGAGAGAAACAGAGTTAATGTTTCGAGCCCAGTGACCTTCCTTCAGAATGATTTGAGGAATCATACAAGATTCAAAACATTAGCTCTGTTTCTCTTTGCACAGATACTGCCAGACCTCCAGCATTCTCTGTGTTTAGCTGTTTGAGTAGGTTGGCCCTGCACACATTGGAGTTTAGAAGAATGAGAGACGGCCTCATTAAAATGTGTAAGATCCGAAAGGGACATGACAAAGTAGAATCTGAAATGTTGTTTCCCCTTGTGGGACCAGATGGCATAATCTCAGAATAAGGGGTCACACGTTTAGGGCAAAGATAAGAAAAACTGAAACAACTGTGGATGTTGTAAATCAGGAACAAAAACAGAAGTTGCTGGAAAAACTCAGCAGGTCTGGCAGCATCCGTGAGGGAAAATATCAGAGTTAATGGTTGGGTCCGGTGACCCTTCCTCAGAAAGATAAAAAGGAATTTCTTCTCTCAGAGGGTAGTGAATCTGTGGAATTCTTTACTGCAGAGAGCTTGTTAAAGCAGGGTCAATAAGTCTACTCAAGGTTGAGATAGACAGATTTTTAATCACCAAAGGAATTAATGGGTACGGGGGAAAGCAGGAAGGTTGGTTGAGGATTATCAGATCAGCCGTGATCGCATTGACTGGTGAAATGGATTTGAAGGACTGAATGGTCTATTCCTGCTCTTTTTAGTCTTATGGTTAACACAGTGAGTTCCAAAATGTAGTGCTAAGGGCATAGATTGTGACAACACAGAAAGCAAGCTGTGTTTGTGTATGTGTACCTGTTTGAGTGAATGTGTATATGAGTCAATTGACTGAGTGTTGTATAGACTATAATTGTTCTTTATTTTTTATTTTTGATTGTCATCTGAAATGGGAAAAGGACTGTTTTAACAGCCACAAACTGTTGAAGGATTGCTGTACATTTTCAAAGTGGGCTGCCTGACCCTCATTGTAAGTGTTGTTTACACAGCTGTTTGTTAAGGTGGTGAGTGAAATCATTTACAGCCAGGCTGGGGCCAAGGGCTGGGTGTGACTCCAGTTTTGGCCAGCCACAAGTAGCTGATTGGTCTGGGAGTAGTGACTCATTGTCAATGACAAAAGCCTTCTGCCCCCCCTCAATAACTTTGTGATTGGCTTCCAGGTGGCCAGATAGCTTGTGGGTGTGAATTTTTGGGACAGAAACTGTCAGATCTCCTGAAAGGAAGGAACTGCTCATTTTCTGCAGTAAAATGTACCTAGACCCTGAAGAAAGCAAATTTATTTCCCACATTAATTGTTGTCAGCTGGGACGCTTAACCGATAAATCAGAGACTTCATAATCTGGGAACCAATTGCTCTCTGCCTCCTGAAAAGGTATGAAAGTAACTGGAGAAGGAAGATCAAGGAACAGCAAGTCCTAACAAGCAAAAAGGATCATCTCAGTGAGACCTTAGGACAGAAACCTTTGAACTGCCTTCTCAGTCTTTCTCTCCACCCTGACACCCATGTTTTTAATTTCTGTATGTGTGTGTAAGGGAGATTAGAGTTTTAACCAGTAGAGCTATGTGTCAATGGTTCATAATTGTTTACCTGTAGCCAGAATATTTTTGTCCTAAATAGTGATTTGTGTTAAATACTGAAACTTGGTCTGTGCTTTCTGTCAACCTGGGTCTAAAACGACAGGTCAGTTGTAGAACTTTTGTGATATTTTTAACTTTCCTGATAATTCTGGGAATAGTGAGGCTTGATTTCCAGCACAGAGGAGACTGAGCCCTGAGGCGACATCAGCAAGGTAGGCCTGCAGTAAAGATGGCACCTGAGGATTGGTGAATTTCTTGTTCGCTGGGTCCAACGCTGGTGATGGTGAAGAGGTGATGAGGAGGGGACCGCGGCAACATTGACCATGACAATAGTGTCCAACGTTGGTGTGTGTGAAGGTGAATTGGCCCAGTGGCAAAAGGTGGTGATCTCCACATTTGTTGGGTCTGGTGAGGCGGTAGTCCTTCCCAGCCAGCTCAGAATTCAAACAGGGCGGCACGGTGGCTCAGTGGTTAGCACTGCTGCCTCACAGCACCAGGGATTCAGGTTCAATTCCACCCTCAGTCTGTGTGGAGTTTGTACATTGTCCTCGTGTCTCTGTGGGTTTCCTCCCACAGTCCAAAGATGTGCAGGTTAGGGTGGATTGGCCATGCTAAATTGCCTGTAGTGTTCAGGGATGTGTAGATTAGGTGAGTTTAAGGGGGATGGGTCTGGGTGGGATGCTCTGAGGGTCAGTGTGGACTTGTTGGGCCAAAGGGCCTGTTTCCACACTGTAGGGATTCTATGATTCAAATGTAGATGGGCTTCTCTTTAAGCTGTATCTTTGCATTTTCTCTTATTCTTAAACTATCAAAATGGCACCACATTATGGTGACAAATGAAAGCTTTTCCCTGTATTTTACTGTATTTCCCTGTAAAATATACATGATAACAAATCATTCATCCATTCATTCATTTCCTGTGTGTTATCCCCAGTGAGGTGTGAGAGGGTTTAAATCTGTATTGACTCAATGTGTTTGTGTGAGTGAATGATTGTGTGGTGACTGTGAATATCAAAATGTACAATGATATGTGAGGGTGAATATATGTGAGTGTGAATGTTTCCGATTATATTTGTTCCTAAGGACATTTTTCAGTATAAGCTGAGTGAATATGTTTACTTCTGTTTGTGATTATGCACCAATGAATGGGTTAGGTAGAGTCATGTCTTTTGTTCATGTGTGAATACATGTGAGAGTGTGAGGGTGAATGTGTTAGAGTGTGTGTGAGTGAGGGTGAGTGTTTGAGGGTGTGT